GGTTGATGCTCTGATATCACCCTTACCTTTATAATAAAACAGACAAAAGTCGGACAGGACAAACCACCTTCTTTTCCACTGCTTAATGGTCCCTCCCTCCTGTAAAAACAGAATAACAAAGACGCGTATTGTTCCACTGGCTGCACCACTTCAATATGTGGCATCTTTCTTTGCCACATACAGCACACATATAGGGTTATAGCCCTCCAGTCAGTTCCTTACTCTGACATTATTTTTCCCACAAAATAGTATCACAAACTCAGCTGTATACTCACTGTGCCACATCACCTGAAAGGGTACCTAGCCTCAAACCCAATACCTGCTCATTCACACATGTCAACGTAAAGCGAGCGAGCAACGATGGTATTATGCAGTTTGCATGTAAACACACACCTAAAATGGCAAAATACTGAGCGCTACAGCTACTGCTACAAGCCCTGTCCAAATCACTCTAAGACAAGCTCTCTACACACACTCACACAGGTCACTTAATGGGAATTTTAAGTGGTTAGCTGTCCCTCCAGGGTTGAGGTTGCCCCCTTTATCACAGCCACTAAATCACATGGAGTTGTGACTAATCCAAACATTCACTGTAGGCTTATGTAACCTCCTACACTTCCAGCAATGGGCAGGTAGCAAAAGCTTTTGTCAAAGCCCATTACTTAATATATGGCATCTTTCTACACTTGTTATAAAATTGTGCCAGGAGATTACTGATGGTTTATTGCATAGCCGTGTTCCATAAAACCAACCAACCGTAGTTGGACATCGAGGCTATATATTTATGTTCACTTCCCTGTATTAAGCCATTTTTTTCATAAAAATTGCTTCCAGGACACCTTATTTTATTTTTTCACATAGTTCAACATGTAAGATTACATCATCCTGACTTGTCAAGTATATAATGACCTGTCAATTGTATAACTTAGTGTATATTTTATACAAACATGAAAAAATGCAACTTTGAACTTGCATAAAACTTGCATGTTTCTTACTAATAATATACATACTTAATCTTCGTAACTTAAACTTAAATATGTATCTAAACACACACTGCCACATGGTCAAAAGAAAGGTTTGTGTCAACCCAAACCAACCACTATAAATGTACATATCAACTTTTTTTGTCACTGGAACTACAATATACCTATGAACACACTAGCTACCACTACATGACATACTAGAGCATTTCTTGCCTACCTGTTTATACAGCCAGCCCTTCATAGAGACTGGGGCCTCCTCGCTTCGCTTGGCCATCGGAGAGTCAACAATCCTAGATAAGAATGAATAACATGCTCATCATTTCAGATCGTTTCACTTACCATGCAGATAATTCAAGCAGAAGAGAGAAAAAGGCAGGGGTCTTATTACAAGTCACTGAATAAGATTTTTCATCCTACACACAGCACCTGCGTATGTATGGGAGTAAGAATGGGACATTCCAAATTTATTTGGCAAATTTTTGAACACTCTGTTGCAGAGTTGGAAGGAATTAAGTATGCACAACCACATAGCATTTTCACTACATGTCTAACCAGCTTGCTTTACATAAAGAAAATTTAATAATTTGCTTATTTCTTTACCGATTTTTAAAATAATAGTTACACAGATGAAAATTTAAAACAACAGTTTGCCAAATTTAACTTTCAAAAAGTATAAAAGCAGAAACAGCAGCAAAAAAACTCATCCATGTAATCAAGAAGACACAATATACATTTCTTTTAGGCGGTAAAATCTAATAACAGGTTAATTCAATATTTGTTTAAATCACTACGGAATTTAGGTAAGCTGAGCCAAGACAGTGAATGATTTCGTTTAAAAAAATAAAGTAAAATTCATCAATCCAGACAAGTTTGGATAAGCTTGAGTGAGTTCTCTGTCAGAGAAAATCCACTATAATTGAACTGCTACAACAAATTTGAATGGCTAGAAAGTGATGCCTTGCTGTTTAACAGAAAATGAAGTTGCGCCTCAACTCAGCCGTAAAATTACGCGCTGAATCATTTAGCAGACAGACAATGTGACACACAACAGTCAATCTGACTCAAGTACATCAAGCCAGACATTATTACGTAGTTACTCAAGGTAAATGGCACAGATACTGCTGAACAGCATTATAACACGACTATTAAAAAAATCCCCGAGGCAACCTAATCCAGTCTTCATATTACAAACACTGAAATCTCAAGCACTTAGGTTTTTTTATCGATTGCTTGTTTATTTCTAAATCAATAACCACTCAGACATAATCTAATATTCTGGATAATGATTACCACTGTGAATAAGACAAAATTTTCATTTTATATGATTTAAGTTACATTTCACTCTTGTGATTCACGAGCAGCGATTAAATCTAGTAAGAAAAAATACTTGCTTTTTGCTTCCTTTCTTGATCAAACTCTGGAAAACAGAAAAAGCACCAAATCAAACCTTTGCATGAAAACAGGCACAAAACAAATCAGGACCAGACCAATGTTGCTTTGTGGGGAAAACAGGTAGTGTGCACACACAACATTCTTACTACCACTTATTAATTATCCTGAAGTATTTCTTCAGTTATTCAACATGACAGAGAAATATTAGAAGTTTGCGCTTTAGACTCCAGAAGCCTTGAATGAAACACCACCTGCAAAGCAACACAACACTATATCTATTTACTGTATGTTGTTTCTATCCAGGGCACCAGTTTGCACAATGAGAAAAAAGTGTAAAATCTAAACACACTCAGGAGGCAAACCTTTATGTTTTACATTTTGATCAAATAGCTGATATACTGGGTGTACCAAAACATTTTTTACCTTTTTTTTTACCTGATCCATTTATCTTCACAGAGGACCCTCTTTAGTTAAACAATTTTTCAATATTTAAGTAGTGATATCATGATACTAGACTGGGTTAATTCTCAAATATACTGGCCTAGAAACTGGACATAAGTTTGTGATATATACATTTGAAAACTTGTGGTATTATTTACTCATTCATACTATAATAATATTCTAGACTTAAATGGATTTGCTTTCTTTGGTTTTCTTTTGAAAAATTGGGGGACATTGCCTTTGATTTCACTAATTGCACAGTTTTATAATTATTTCAACCCCAAAATTGACACCTGAAAAGTTGACTTCTAAATAACTGCAGAATCTTTACACACAAGAATCAATAGAGTTAAATGCTATGCTTATCAACCAGATTTTTTTGACAGGAACAGTTGACTTTATGCAATAAATGCCAACATAAAAATACTCTCTCTTCTATAAAGATACTATGGATCAGTTGAATTAAACAAATAGCTCTGTAAAATGATATATTTTGATTTTCTGGGCAACTTGAATTCATTAAGATCTTTTCATTACTGATTGTTGTTTCTTTAAAAAAGTAAAGGAAGCATTTTGTTTTTTATTTTCATAAATAGTACTGCTTTACTTAATATGATATGTATATACCTGTCCAGTAGTAAACAAAAATGATGAACATACACTGACTATTTTCATTTTTTAAAAAGAAACATGAAAACCAGACAATGTTTTAATTCACGCCCTTAGTACATTTTAAAACCTTGATAAGAATTCAATATACTACCTATCTAGATATATTGAGAGTAGTAATTTTGCATACTGAGTGTAATAATACTATAATGTTTTGTGTAATTGTGATAATGTTTGCAATTACTTACCCCTCTTTTGGGTTCTATGCCACTTTTCTCCTTTGGACTTTCTATTTTCCTGCAAGTAGAATTAACAAACTCTATATTGTTAGTCTATGCTTAATCACACAAGAGCACCAAAACTATATAAAAGGCAGAAGACATTTGCTAAAAGTTCAACCCCGACTAACAAGGCAACATGCATGATAATGTTTCCAACATGAAGTCACAAACAGTATACAACTGAATGCCAACCTGGCCAATTAACAGCCAAAAACAAGTTTAACTTTTTAAACAACAAGGCAGTGACTCAGGCCTGAAGCATGCTGCCTGGATTCAAAAACATGTTCCCCAACATTGTAAGCTACCCTGGTTGGAGATGACAATTAGTTAACAGGTGGGAATAAAACCCCATTTTTGGACTGATGTGAACAAAAAAATTCAAATTTACTGCAAAGCATTTTAAGTGTATATACTGTAGAAAGTGGTGTTCATCAAAGCCGGGCGTAAAAGCAGTTCTGGCATAATAGTCTGTCATTAATCCATGTATACAGAGGAGTTCACCTACTGTCAGTATATATTATGTTATGCTATGTCACATAAGCGACTGCTGACATTATAAAGATCTCTTGTAAAGAGTGCATGTAAAACTCAGGCCAATACGGAACAAGCTCATTTTTGTGACACGTCACTGTTTTACCTAGTATTTAAAATGAGACAGGTAGATTTTTTAAACGAATTCTTGCAGTGACAATTAGGGAAATAAAATTTAGGGAAAAACCCATCTTCAGTCATGACAACATCTAACCTATATTTCCCATGGTAAAACAGCTGTATGAAGGACTGGCAAATAACACTCAGAAAATGCATTATGCAGACATTACACAGATGGCTCTTAGGGGTTTGAAGTTTTAAGGACATTTTAAATGTATCATTCCCAATGAACTTCAAAATTAAGTCCCAATTAAGAATGTTCGCAATTTTCTAAATTAAATTTGTGATGAAAAATGCCCCTCTCTTCTCTTCATTCTGAGTTTGAATTTAACTAACCTTCCCGACAATTAATCAATTAATGACATATTTCGATATTTAGAGGATTTATCTTGGGGTGGGGGG